TATCAGATGACTCCTCTTTTTAAAAATAGAGAAGTAGGTGTAAGTTGAACAGGGACCAAACTGGACTTTAAACGTGCTGAAAAAGCCAAGATGGGTCAGAAACTAATTCTGTTCTTAACTGACCATCTGAGAAAGCCAAGAAAAAATATGTCTTCCTAAGCTATTTTTAGACCCTTTGGCTTTAATGTTTTTTTTTTTCTGCTGCTATGTTTTGATGCCTACAAAAACACAGATGTCTGAGGTCATCCTCGTTCAGAAATCAGGTTATGCAATATAATTTAAAACTTGAAAAATAAAAGAGAAATGGCAATAAGAAGTTTAGACATGATGAAATCCAGGCACCTATCAAAACAAGAATTTCCTTAGAGACTGCAGAGAAAAAATGATGTACCAAAGATCACCTGAGAAACCTACAGTACAGGACAACATTGACCACCTCTGTCAGCTTTATTGGTGAGGTCAATGCCTCACTTCATTGTCAGACTGATAAGAGATGTGTTACAGCTTCACAAAGTGTACTGCAAATACTAACAGCTGGGGAAGAGGGAAAGGCAACTGCAACAGGGGTGATTTGTCACTGTTTCCATTGTAAATCCACGCTATCAGGGCATCTGAAGTGACTTGTTTCTGTTCTCATGCTGCATTTAGAGAATCCCAACCAAGAGGGAAACGTGTTTTCTTCAAAACAGAAATTACACTGGCTTTTTAGGGCTCCCTGTACATTCCAGGATGAATGCAGTTACACATCTAACGCCTTCCTCCACTGTTCCCAGACTGACCAGTCTGTCTTAGGATGGGCAAGAACTGGCAGCAAACACCAAACAACTGTTAACCAGAACAATTTTCTTTTCCTATATCTAACATTCCCTGTGGGACTTCCAGAAAATCTCAGGCCAGACCTCTGGCATGCCAGCAAAGCGCCCCAAAGGCACCACAAAGAGGGTGTACTTACTCCCAAAACTCCGTGACAGGAGAGGTGAAATTAGTGGCATTCAGTGATATCCACAGCGTTTTGTTCTTCCTGAGAGTGTCTTCCACGCAGGTAGGCGTGTTCCACTTCTGGTGGCAGTGTGCCCATGGCAGGACGCTCTGGAACGACTGGAACAGGTAGTAGAGTCCCCAGGCCAGGATGACAATGTAGTACACGTTCAGAAGGGACACAATCACTATGGAAGCATAACCAATTCCTGGCAAGAAGGGGAGAGAAAAGAAATATGTGCAGATGTGACAGCTGCTTATTGCTAGGTTGCCTTGTGATCTCGTGGAGCTGGTACTATTCCCACTGTGTCATGGACTTGCATCCTGCTCTGCCACACTGCTGATGGAAACTCAACTCATTCACACATATGCACAGACCTGCCATCACCTCTGACTAGCAAGGGCACTCAGGGTTGAGTTTCTGGCTATGGTTTGCTGACACTGGAAGGGAAGCCTGAAGGCCATCTACCCAATTTAACAATAACCCAGTTATTTCAAGTTTTAGTAAAAGTAAGTCAAGGCATCATGCTTTGCATACTTAGGAGCTATACCATCTCATTTCTTAGGTACCTATGTGGGCAACATCACTCTCACCACATTGTCCCCCAAGCAGCTTTCTTGAAGGCAGCTCAGCTGGACAGCCCCTGCACCACTCATACTTATCGACTGGCTTGGCTCAGCCTATGTGCAAAAAAAAAAAAAAGATGGTTCTTAAACAAGTTAAAAAGGAAGATTCCAAAGCTATCAATGTAAAAGCTGCCATTTCTGCCCCAATTTCACTTGTGCAAGGGAAGCATGATATTTGTAGCTGCTATGGTTAATTAGATCAATGTTTAACTCTGCTATCAATATTTGATGATAAAAAACGTTCCTTGTTTGCTTTCAAAAGCAGGGTCATGGGCAGATAAGGGTGAGTCCTACACAACTTCAGGAGGTGGTGGAATGCTGTTTCAGTGAAGGCTTTAATTAAATAGCACAACTGTTCTCCTGAGTCTGGTATTGCTCAGCATTTTAGCCCCACCAGCAGATTTATACTACACCTTAAATCAGAAGCAGTCACTGGGTTTTTAGACACAAAATTGAAAGACTCTGAAAAGCTTCCTTTACTAAAAATCTTTTAGCTCCAAAAAGCTTACAAAGTTTGTGGCTTAAGAATAACAGGGGAAAAAAAACCAGGGATTTCCTTTAAAAACTTACAGCAGCCTCTTACAAGAGGATGAAATACCTATGAGGTTCCCTTTAACATCACTTTGATGGTTACCCTGAGGTATCTGCCTCATATTTTACCGTTTCAAACCTTATTGCAGTATAAGTCTTCATCACCAGAGATTATCTACATGCCAGGTGAAAATAAGCAGAGGAAGTGCTATTTATACTGTACATTTCATTCAGGGTATACAGCTTGTCACACTATTAGAGCTACAATTTCTGTTTTTTGATGCGTGGGTGACTGCATCACACTAAAACCTTAAACACCTTAAAACACCTTAAACAAGGAATATGCCTTCCTCCTCCTCAAATAAAAAAGAGGCTTCATGAAAGTGGGAGGAGGAGGAAAAAAATGGAACTAATGCAACACAATTACGTCAACTTTGGCAGCATTCTGAGGATTAGGTAGGAGTATGAGCAATGGAGAAAGCCCTCGCTTCTGCTTAGGATGACATAAGGGGAGAGAGATGCCTGGAAAAGCAACGATGGCAGAGCTAGAGACATGTCACTGGTGAAGCGCCCACTCTTTCCAAATGGGATTTGAAGACTGCTGCTCCATGTAGTGGAATTATGCCAAATGATTCTGCCTCTGCTATCTGGCTGTTAAGGGTAATCTATAGACAAGACAGGCATCCTCAGTAGTTCTTCCAACCTGTCGTTCTTTTCTCGTTCTAGCTAACTTCCAGAGCAACACTTGTATAATTCCGGTGAGTGACTCTTCATTTGCAGGCAAAGACCCTTCAATGACATCATACCTGTTTGCTAGGACATGCTCAGTTGAGATAAGCCCTGTTCCTGAATCCTACCAAAAATGCTGTCCAGGGTTTGGCTCTGTCAGTTACAGAGCGATGATGTCAATGTTAAGTTTTCACATGACAGACAGATTTTGATTTTCAGATCAGAATAATATTTTGAAGATGCTTTCACTTTCACTAAGCCCCTCTAGCCTTCCAAAACAACACTTTTTCCAGTACTGTGAACAAAGTGTGCAATTGCAAATAATATGCAATTTCTTGCTTGCTTATTGGCAGTTCTGCCAGTTAACAAGATGATAGCATCAAAATCAATACCTTACTTTGCCTTTCAGACTCTCTGACTTCTGCCTTTCCAGGAACCAATATTATACCCTCAATTACTACAGCAAATAGCTGAATTAATGGACAGTGGGAATTAATGGGAATAGTGTTGTTGAACATGGTTTAGAGGTGTCTTTAAGCAGTAAAGCACAACAAGATGTACTAACCAGTGAAAATAGGGCAGATCTTTTCCCAGCATGTAATTCCACCTTCAGAGGTATACTGTCCTAGCACCACCTCCAGGAAAAACACGGGAAGACCTCCCCCAAACAGGAAAATGAAGTAAGGTATAAGAAATGCACCTGTTTGGAAAATATAATAGTAAAAGATTGAGATTAAGTGAGTGAACTTACACAAGATTGTCTAAAAAGTGGTAAGAGGCACATATAAACAAAGAAACATTAAACACTTTAATATCAGTATACAATAATCTTATTCTGGGTTATTTTGCTCATATTCTCTGCAAGATGAACAGGTATACACAGCTGGAAAGGGCATTTGCTTACCTTTTTAAAGTGAAAAACTTCAATAACAATAAGGTTAGGCACACAACACTTTCACACGGCTCAGAATGCTCTTATTCTGAAATCCACCGGTCTGAAATCTTACTGGTCTATATTAATAGCACACCTTTTGGTTACAACTCAAGTCTCAACTGAAGCAGAAGTAAAAGGGCAGAAAAGGTTCAGTAGTATAAAATTTAAAAATGCTATTGTTTTCCCTGAATTAAATTTTAACAAAAACTAACAAGTAATAAACCAATCTCCTCTATAGGATGGTGAAGGCAGAAGACAGATGTGTGACCATTCTTTTTCACCAGGCACTGAAAACAGCAGGCGCAACGCGGCCCGATGGACTCGCAGGGGTGGAACACAGAACACAGGAGGACTCACCTCCGCCGTTTTTGTAGCAGAGATACGGGAACCGCCAGACGTTGCCCAAGCCAATGAATCCCCCAGCCACCGAGAGCAGAAAGTCAATCTTGCTCGCCCACTTCTCCCGCTGGGGCGGCTTCCCTTCGGCCTCGTCCTCAGGCCGTGTCCCCGGGCTCTTGCCGGGGGAAGGTTTGAGGATGTCCTTGTGGAAATCTTTCAAGCACTGCAGCTTTTCCTTTGTTGCCATATTTCTGCTTTCTACACAGAAAAAAAGAAGAACCCTGGGTTTATTAAACAGCCTTTACTGGTAGAGCTCTCTAACACTGCAAGAACTGTTTAACCAGACTCCTTTCATAAAAAAACGGTGCTGTTTATCAAGCTGAGATAACAGCAGAGATACCTCTGTTGCTTTCCCTGCCAGGAGAGACAAACCAGCCCTGGACTCTGTGGTCACCTCTTTGCGGCCAATGCAACGTAGGGCACGGCAAAGGTTTGACACCACTGCCCACCTGCTGGCTGCAGACAAAAGGAATATGAAGACTGCACACTGCATCAGCAAGTGGTGTCATTGAGCAAATATCTCGTGCTGCTTCCATGCCCACAATAAGGTACAAATCACTGCATCCGATTCTTTCTCAAACATTTAAGCAAAATACAGCAGAATAGTAAATTCCACCTTTCCAGATAAAATCCACATCTCTATTTCCCAATAACCTGAACTATCCTCTATCATTTATTGCCTGCAATTTCATTTCCCTGAAGTAGCATAAAGCTTTCTGAAAACTATACATTCATAAAAACTGGAATGGAAAGTCATTTGTTCTAATCAACCTGCAGGAACTGAAGGAATCTCTTCAGTTTATTCCATTTTAATAAGCCTGCTGTTTTCCCTTGAGATCAATAAAGGGACAAAAATAAACCTTTATATTCAATTATTGCCTTATACACACACCTATGCAATTGAACACTTTGCCAAGAATGATGGCTCCTTAGTTAATTAAAAAGTCAGTGGCATGAGTTACCTCATGTAAAACCCAAGGCATATTAAATCATAGCTGCTTTTATAATCTAGACATATAATTTATTATGTTCAAAAATCATAGATTGTATAAAAATAACAGAAAGGATTACTCTAAGAAGTGCCTTTTTATCTAGCATTTCCTACTGAAAATAATTCAGGAATAACTTGTCGCTTTGATGTGAACTCAGATCTCAGGCACATGCGGCTAATTCGCTCCCCACATAACTCCAGTGACTTCAGCTGGATCTGACCAGTTATTTTTGCATAGTGTTTTGATACTGAAAAGCACGTGAAATTTTCACCAGAACCAGGCAAACCAGCAAGTTTATTCCAGACCACAACCATTCCCTGCTTGTACATGTCATTATGGGTGCAGAGTCATAAAAAAGAAATCATGCTATAGATTATCCCGTTTGATAGCTGCAAGCCTCCCTCATACCTGCTTGCTGGTTTTGATCTCCAACCTGATTTAGCTTGTGGCAGTGACCTGAAACCTGAGTTGACATTAGCTCTGCAGGAAGTTTTTAATCCGGGCATGATTTTGAGATAGATATGCATCACTGTACCCATAAATCTTTCCATCCACCGCGGAAAGTTTCAGAAGGCTAAGATGTTCACAAGCTACAGCGGCTCGATAGTCACCCCACTGACATACTGGTGGCCTTTGAAAAGCAGGTATCGTGACAGCAGTCGCCTATCAGGCCATGATCTAAAAAGGGACTTTAATCTTCACACCACTAACACGACTTTCTACTGTTTTTTTTAAAAAAAGGCCGCCGTGGACTGCAGAGGTGATCCAAGCTATTGCAGTATCTCCTGGTCAACAGCAGAGAGAGCTCATACAAGGAGAAAGCTAATCACAGGGTAATGCATCATCACCAGCCACTGCAAGGGTACAAGGGCAGGACAAGGATGTGTCCCTGGGACATCTGCATCTCACTCCAAGCCCCAAAGCCATACCACTCTGCACCATCCCCGGAGCTCTCTCTTGAGGGAGAAAAGAAAAAATGGTGGGTACAACTGCTTTTCTTCAAAGAGGTACCTACACGGTGCCTGATGTCCAGCGCTCGCTGCAACAGCAACCAAGCATGGAGAAAGCTCAAATTCACTTTCTTCTGCTATTTGTGCTGCTTGAGTCCCTATCTTTCATCTTGCAGGAGAATGTCATAACCATCAGGCGACAGGCTATTCTGGGCTGAGGAATGGAGGGCATTTGGATCATCTCTCATGGAAGCTGTTCTTCACAGGGGTTATTGAAACACTCATCAACAGAGCAAGAAAGTGTGCAAAGGAGAGAGTGCTGTGGTTTAAACTCACAACAGTGTTTAGGAAATGCTCTTGTTTTTCTGGCAGTTTTTCGGTGAACTGCTGGGACAGTCATAAACCTGCTTAACAGGACATGGAGATATATAGATTTATAGATCCCTTCAGGATTAAGGTTTGAAATAGGAGCTTAACTGCTCCCTGTGGGGACTGATACTGGAAATATCCCAGAGCAGAACACCGGGCACGTGGGCTACCTTTACATCAAAAAACCGGGAGGACCTACAGACATTAGCCACCTCCAAGATGAAAAATTCTTCCAGGATTGACATTTTCTGCAATGTCCTTTTACCTTGTGACACAGGGTTCTTTATTTTTCTGCCAGCTCTAATATTCTTGCCTGTGGATTTACCTCAACCCAGGTGTTACTCAGTTCTTGCAGAGTTCGCAAGCCTGGCCAATTAACATTCTGTAAACCCTGACTCTCCCTGGCACAAGGCGATCACCCTGTGGTTTGTCCTAATTACCCACACACAAAGTGTCAGATGGTGCCTTTTCAGACTCCTGCTTCGTAACTGTGTGGGACTGCATTTTAAAAAGGGATTTCTAATTTGTCTTAAAACACCCCAAGTTAATGGCCATGCTTGAAAACCTAATTACTGAGCATAAAATTTGTTTCAGCCTTAGCTGGAGTGTGAAGATGGATTGTGATCTTTCCCTTAGCCCACAAATGACAAATCCTCAAGGTCACACTCACTTTTGGGGTGGCTGTTTCAGCGGTGGGTGCCAGGAGACAGACCACCACAGCTCTGTGGCAAGCTACCAGCTCTCACTAGTGGGGGATGGTACAATACCCACCCAACATCCACACAAAATCAGTAACAGCCCAGTTTTACTGTGTATCTCTTATCTAGTCTTGCTGAAGCCCTGATTGTGTTTTGAGGGCCAGCAGCTGTGGCTGGCAGGCACGTACCATTGAGCAGTACCATAGGAATTGACGCTAAGAGGCCACCTGGGACTGTGCTCCCAGCCCGTGTCACGTTCAAGGGATGTCGGATTTATCCCCCTTTGCTGCCAACCACTGGTGTCCACCCAGCCATTCCCAATTACAGGAACTGTCCACAAAGGCTGCAAGGGTGGGGGGTACGGGCGATTCTCCTTGGCGAAGAAAAGCCAAGAAAATCAAGTTTGTTTAGTGAAAGGCATTGTCTTTTTCCTTAATGGGGTTGGAGTTTCATTTCCTTTAGTTATGTCCCACTGGGTGAGGTTAAAATGGCTCTTAAGGGAAATAGTCTGACAGAGATGCTGAAACAATATGTTGTCACCGCCCAGGTCAGAACCAGAGAATAATAGGTTATTTTTACTGTATCACTTAGTAGGGATGGTATCAGAGATCTAAGTCCATCTGATTCCCCCAAGGAAATATATTGTAAGAAAAGGCTCTTACAACCACAGAGTCCAAAAGGAGAGATCTGAGTCTGAGGCATATGTCTGCCTCTCAGAGACACACGTCTGCCTTCCAGGAGCCACATCTGTCTGTGAGAGTACCCCTCCAGGAAGCTTCGGATGGCCCCAGGAAGCTCTGGCTTCATCTGATGAACTTAATATGGATAAACAAAAAGCAGCAGTCAAGCCAGCCATTTACAGTGTGCTGCTAGGCTGAGTCCAGCCAAACCGCTAGAGCGTGGCCCAAAAGCAAGAGGAGAAAGGATCCAGACTGGGCCAGGCTCAGGATCTGCCCTCACATACACTGGTACAAACCCTAATTAATTGAGGATGAAGTTATCAGTTGTCAAACTGATGCTGGTAAAATGTGGAAAAATAGAACAAGGGAGAAAGCACAGGCGCTTTGTGCTTCTGAAGCATCTGCTCCCTGTGGCCAGGAGCACCTCAAGGGCTCCTCTGCTTCTGCAGGAGAATCACATACCTGTCCCTTGCACTTGTTTCTCAGACTTCCTCACGTGAAGTACCCTTGCGATGACCCAAGCTCTCTTGCTGCCCTCTGTGACTGTGTTTGGTGCACAGCTGAAAATACCACCAGATTAGCCATAAGCAGAACACTCTCGCAGCCAGCCTGGCTTGGGCCATTTACTGTGCTCACCTACTCTATCTTCTCATGTCCAGCCTGCACCTCAGATAACCTGTACCCTTTCAAAAATACTGGCATAGAAACGTAATCCTTCATAACATGCAAAAAATGAGAGCTACGGGAAGGGAAAGGCACTGGGCAGGGGGATCAGACGATGAGAGATGCAGATGAGGGAAGGCCGCCAGTGTGGAGAGGACCTGCTGGTTGTCAGAACAGACACAACTCACATTACTTCTGAACCACTAACTTTTCTTGACAGACAACCCATGGATTACACATCTGAAAATACACTGTGCAATTTCTGCTTTGGGATTAGAGTAATGATCTGCTCCAAAGTTCTCATAGCCAGAGATAGGCAACCAAGGCAGGGTAACACCTTCCAGGAGGAGCCCTGAGGACAAATTCATGATAGATGCCTCTTTGCTTAATAAACTTTAAAAACCAAGTCATCAAAACAATGTTTTTCCAAATGCTCATGAAAACATGAAAATCCAAGTCTGCCTGTACAGGCAGATATGTATTTGTAAATATTTACGCACGCTAAAAAGCAAGCCCTGTCTTGCATCTGGAGATCAGAAACCACAGCAAAGGAGTCACTTCTTTTTTGGTCAATGAACATAAACTTTGATTAGGGATTCAACATACTGAATTGGTGACTAGAATCGTAAATGAACATTTGTTTTCTAGTTTCTTCTTCCAATAGAAAACTAAAAGCTAAGTACATACTCAAGAGTGCCACTGACCTTGATGGGAATGCTGCCTGAGGAATGACTCTATGGCTGTACTGATTTTATGGACTATTTTTGCAATGTGATGTGTACCACCACTACTTTTGCTCTCAAGCACCCTCTTCTACTAAGTTCAGCCTGTGCAGACTGTATGTCT